TTAACCATGTTTTTGCGCCATTGCGGCACCACGAAACAGTGGATGCGTGATTTTTTTGGTTCCTCCTACCGACTAAGATGTGGTCTACAGTAGCATGGTGTTTTTATTTTGTTTCAAAAACGTGGTTATGTACAAGATATGTGAATAAAGGGTGAATTTGGGGTTCCCCAACGCAAAAAGTGTGATGATCCATGAGGATCTGTGCTTCAAAACCATGTTTTTGAGCCATGGAGTGGCCAGGAAGCCATGGATCCGTGATTTTTGTGGTGCAGGCTGTGCCCCTGGACATGATGTGTGATTTGACAGTGAGTTTGGGTTGGCCCAATGTAAAAAGTGTGAGGATCCATGAGGATCCGTGCTTCAAAACCACGTTTTTGGGCCACGGTATGGCCAGGAAGCCGTGGATCCGTGATTTTTGTGGTGCAGGCTGTGCCCCTGGCTATGATGTGTGATCTGACGGTGAGTTTGGGTTGGCCCAATGTGAAAAGCATGAGGATCCATGAGGATCCGTGCTTCAAAACCACGTTTCTGGGCCATGGAGTGGCCAGGAAGCCGTGGATCCGAGTTTTTTTGTGGTGCAGGCAGTGCCCCTGGACATGATGTGTGATTTGACAGTGAGTTTGGGTTGGCCCAATGCAAAAAGCGTGAGGATCCATGAGGATCCGTGCTTCAAAACCACGTTTTTGCTCCATGGCGTTGCCAGATAACCGTGGATCCGAGTTTTTTGTTGTGTAGGCTGTGCCCCTGGACATGATGTGTGATATGACAGTGAATTTGGGGTGGCCCAATGCAAAAAGCGTTAGGATCCGTGCGGATCCCACCTTCAAAACCACGTTTTTGGGCCATGCCGTTGCCAGATGACCGTGGATCTGAGTTTTCTGTGGTGCAGGCTGTGCCCCTGGACATGATGTGTGATTTGACAGTGAATTTGGGGTGGCCCAATGCAAAAAGCGTGAGGATCCATGAGGATCCATGCTTCAAAACCACGTTTTTGGGCCACGGTATGGCCAGGAAGCCATGGATCGGTGATTTTTGTGGTGGATGCTGTGCCCATGGCCATGATGTTTGATCTGATGATGACTTTGGGCTGATCTTGTGCAAAAATCATGAGGATCCATGAGGATCCATGCTTCAAAACCACGTTTTTGGGCCACGGTATGGCCAGGAAGCCGTGGATCCATGATTTTTGTGGTGGATGCTGTGCCCCTGGCCATGATGTGTGATCTGATAGTGACTTCGGGCTGGTCTTGTGCAAAAATCATGAGGATCCATGCTTCAAAACCACGTTTTTGGGCCTTGGAGTGGCCAGGAAGCCGTGGATCTGAGTTTTTTGTGGTGCAGGCTGTGCCCCTGGACATGATGTGTGATCTGATGATGACTTTCGGCTGATCTAGTGCAAAAATCATGAGGATCCATTAGGATCTGTGCTTCAGAACCACGTTTTTGGGCCACAGTATGACAAGGCAGGAGTGGATCCGAGTTTTCTGTGGTGTAGGCTGTGCCCCTGGCCATGATGTGTGATTTGACAGTGAGTTTGGGGTGGCCCAATGCAAAAAGTGTGAGGATCCATGAGGATCCGTTCTTGAAAACCACGTTTTTGGGCCATGGTGTGGCCAGGAAGCCGTGGATCCGTGATTTCTGTGGTGGATGCTGTGCCCCTGGACATGATGTGTAATTTGACAGTGAGTTTCGGCTGATCTAGTGCAAGAATAATGAGGATTCATGAGGATCCGTGTTTTTTAACCATGTTTTTGCGCCATTGCGGCACCACGAAACAGTGGATGCGTGATTTTTTTGGTTCCTCCTACCGACTAAGATGTGGTCTACAGTAGCATGGTGTTTTTATTTTGTTTCAATATAAAAATCATATGAATTCATGAGGATCCGTGCCTCGGATCCATGTTTTTGTGGTGCTGTAGCGCGGCAAAGTGTTGGATCCACATTTTTTATAGTCCAGTTTGTAGGCGTGCCTTCTAGGTGTGATTTGACACTGCATTTGTTGGAATTAATTTTTAAAAAGTGGAGGATCCATGAGGATCCGTCTAGATCCGCCTTTTATGCAGACCCCATTTTTGGTATCCAAATTGTTGTTGTTAATAATACCCCTCCCATCTGGCTGGATTGCCCCAGTCACTCTCAACCAACAACATATCTACTGAGTTTCTACTGAAATGAGGCTGCATTTTAATGTTGTATTTTAATTTTGTTTTTAAGTTGTATTTCAATCGTTTTTATACCTGGTGTTAGCCGCCCTGAGCCTGGGCTGGGGAGGGCAGGGTATAAATAAAATTTATTTATTTATTATTATTATTATTATTATTATTATTATTATTATTATTATCATTATCATCATCATCATCATCATAAAAACATAATAAAAACAAGCATTAAAAGCTTCCCTATACAGAGCTGCATTCAGAGCTGTCTTCTAAAATGTTAAGTTCTTTATTTCCACGACCTCTGAAGGGTGTTCCACAGGGCGGGTGCCACAACCGAGAAGGCCCTGTTCTGACTGGTTCCCTATAACTTCACTTCCCGCAGGCTGAACAGTTAAGTACTTATTGTTAATTCCCCTCGTGGCTGGGGAAATCCAGTCAGATGGGAGGGGTATAAATTATTATTATTATTATTATTATTATGAGTCTTGACCTCTGTTAAAAAGGGGGGCGGAATCCATTAGCCACAGCAGAACAGCCAATTTACCACAGCACTCCACCATTACAACATCTGTGCTACTGACTCTTAGTCTTTGGGATTGAAACATAGCCTCAAAAACTGTAAGCAATGTGGACTAAACTTTCCATTCATTTCATAATGCATCCATCCCTAGGTTAGAGCATCAGGCTAGGACCCGGGGGAGACCCAGGTTCAAATCCTCCCACTCTTAAGCTCTCACGGGGGGGGGGGGCGGTGTTCACTGCCTCCCAGGCTAACCTACTTCGCAGAGTTGCTGCAGGGATTAAATGAGGGGGAGGAACCGTGTGGGCCACTCTGAGCAACTTTGATAAAAAAGGTGGGATACATACTTGAGTTTGGATTTGAGATCCCACTTTATCACTACCTGAAGGAGTCTCAAAGCGGCTAACATGCTCCTTTCCCTTCCTCCCCCACAACAAACACTCTGTGAGGTGAGTGGGGCTGAGAGACTTCAGAGAAGTGTGACTGGCCCAAGGTCACCCAGCAGCTGCAGGTGGAGGAGCGGGAGACTTGAACCCGGTTCCCCAGATTACGAGACTACCACTCTTAACCACACTGGCTCTCATATTACATAAACTGGCTCCCATATTACATAAAAGCAATAAAATAATTTATTTTATACACTGCCCTTCCAACCACAGGGAGGTTTACAGCATCAAAACAAAAAAATCCCTTTTCCCTTCTACGTGCAGGCTCTGAAAAAATAGTCCCCGTTTTGTGATATGGGGGTGGGTACATATATGTGTGTTTGCGTATTGTGCTTGTATAAATCCTTGGGTATGTAAACATTTATTTATGTGTTTGTGTATGTGTATCTGTTCTGTGTAAATGTAATTATCAATGATCAGGGGTTGAGCAGCAGAAAATCCTAGGTCCAATCCCTGGGATCTCCAGCTAAGAGGGGCTCCTCTCTCTAGAAGCTCTGGTTATGCAGCTGCCAGTGTTGAAACCAAAATGATCTCACAGCCTTGCTGCTTTCATTTCAACAGTACAATTTCTTGGTTCAGGAAAAAATGCCTCTGCGACCCTTACAGGCCAAGGTTGGAAAATCTTTTTGGCTCAATGGTTCAGATCATTCTTCCTTATGGGCAAGATCTGGTGGCTGGGGCGGCAGGGCCATGACCTGTCAATCACCTGACATCACCGTGACTTAGCCAAAGTGGAGGTATGGGTACATCCCAGAGTCAAGGCGGGATTTAACGGCGCCCTCCTGCCCATCAAATGACATCATGAGGGACATCAGCTGATGGACTTGAGTTGGAGAAAACAGCCTCAGGGGCCATTGGGACCCAGCAACCCTCTGATGTGGTCTTAGAGCAGGGGTGGGGGATGCTTTCAGCTCGAGGGCCGCATTGCCTTCTAAGTAACCTCCTGAGGGCCAGAGGCAAAAGTGGGCAGAGCCACTAATGCAAATTTTATAGTAGGCTAGTTTTGAACCGGGATGCGGGTGGTGCTGTGGTCTAAACCACAGAGCCTAAGACTTGCCGATCAGAAGGTTGGCGGTTCGAATCCCCGTGTCGGGGTGAGCTCCCGTTGCTCGGTCCCTGCTCCTGCCAACCTAGCAGTTCGAAAGCACGTCAAAGTGCAAGTAGATAAATAGGTACCACTCCGGCAGGAAGGTAAACGGTGTTTCCGTGCGCTGCTCTGGTTCGCCAGAAGCGGCTTAGTCCTGCTGGCCACATGACCCGGAAGCTGTACGCCGGCTCCCTCAGCCAATAAAGCGAGATGAGTGCCGCAACCCCAGAGTCGTCCACGACGGGACCTAATGGTCAGGGGTCCCTTTACCTAGTTTTGAACCACACCCCAATCTATCCTCTACCCACAAGCAAGAGAGATAAGCAGAGTTCACGAAGCATGCAGGCTACTTAGGGGTTCAAAGCAGGACCCACGAACGGTGTGGCTTGGGAAAAATTCAGATAGTGACATGGAGGGAATGTAAAGGACGAAATTCCTATTCCACTCTTCCTTCTCCCTCCATGGAGTTCAGAGCAGCAGGCACAGGTCTCCAATCCTCACCTCCTTTTACACTTTACAAGAACCTTGCAAGGTAGCTTGGCTTTCAGGCTCCAAGGCCACCTGTGAGACCAGGTTTATCCAGCAAGAAAACCTCCTGGGTCTCTGCCCCCCGGAGCAAGGGAAGAGATCCACTCCCGGGTGGGGTAAGAGCTCCATCAGTGCCTTTCAGCAGCAGGGACACCCTACCCGTGAGTAAGGAGATGACCTCAGGGAGCAGGCAAGCGTAATGTGGGCATAAAAGAAATCCAAATCACAGCAATGCACAAATGCAGTAGCACAGGCGGACGCTCTTAAAAGAAATAAAGACGGCTTTATTGGACCGAGTAGCACACGGCATGTTACGCCCCATCGTGTCCGACAGATGAAGCTGATGAAACAGGCGTGGGGTGGTGTTGTTTTTTGAGAGAGAAGGGAAGGGGGTTTCAACATCCATTTGAACAGGCAATGATGTGCCTCAGAGTCACGAGGGGCAAAGTGACAAAAATCCATAGCACGGCACATCGAGATGGGCGGCTACAAGGATGTCTGGGCAGGTCCAGGACCCAACCGTGTGTTCATTCATTCTCTCTCTCTCTCTCTGCGCCAGAAACAAGTCATGGATGTGGCTGCGCTGAGCGGCTCGTCCTCAGTTGTCCCGCCTCCGGAGACGGGAGGTAATGGCAGTCAGTCCCGGCGCTGAATGAGAAAACAGTCCCACTCACTTCTTGAGGTTGACTTGGAGCTTTTTAAAACGGGTCCAAGGCGAGGGTTGTCTTCCCGCCCCCCCATTTTTTAAAAAAACGCCAGAACTTGTGCTTGCTGCTTCCTTAAAACCCAGTCAAAGCAAAGTCATTAAATCTTAACACTATAGAAAGAACCCCACTCCTCTCGCCTTCAGCTCAAAGAGCTGATTTCCCCCCCATGGAAATTGGGGGGGGGTGTTTGGTGGGGGTGGAAGAATACACTTAAATACAACTTCATAAATATTAACATCATGGGGGGAAAAAACCAAACAACAAAAAAAGCTTGTGTTCTTTTCCTCCTCGCGGGACAAAAATAGACGATTCTGGGGATGTTTCCGAAGAGTCAAAGGGTGTCTAATATAGACATTTACTTAAAATAGAACTCTTAAAGAGAATTGTGGAGAGGGCAGGGTAAGGCAAGGAAGTAATTCCTCCAAACACAGAGCTGTGTTGTCACCTGGAGTTCTGTATGGCTAGAAAAACTACAGGAATTTAACTACTTTTCTGCATTATGAATGCAAAATAGGATTTGTCCCTGTCCCACTACTTTTTTTTTGTTTAAAAAATAGAATTAACCAATTATTCCCGACATGTCGTCATACTTCCTGATCTCTTCTCCGTATTTAAGAGATCAGGAGTGCTCCGTTCGTCCTTCCTCCCCTATTCAGGGTTAAACAAGGTACACTTGTCAAGCCTGGGCAGAGTATAATGGCTAACCCTGGTTGTCCCTAAGGTGCAGCCCACCTGTGAAAAGCTAACCATGGGTAGTCAAAAATTGGCTACACCCACAGCAGGCACTGAAAAGGGGGGGGGTGTATGTGAACTTGTGGGGCACTCCCTGTTCCTTACAGAAAAAAAGAAAGCGTTTTGCTTCAAGTTTAGGTTCCGGTGGAACTTCCGCTATACATCAACATTTTAAACAGAATAAAACCGGCCTGTTTTCACAAGCCTCTAAGCTTCTTACTGTGATTACTGACAGCAAGGCGGATATAAAAAAATACATTTAGGAGAAATATAAATTCTCTTGGTGGAATTCTCTAGGGAGGAAAGGGCTGTCATGATTTCAACTTGACCGTAAATGTAGAATATTACTTTTTTATATATGTATAAAAAAACCAACCCAAAAGTTATTGGCATGACACAAGTTCCAAACTGCTGAAGGGGCTCCTGTTTGGAAAGTTTAGTGATTATTTCAAGGTTTTATGCTACCTTCTTCCCCGCTCTCTCTCTCTCTCCCTAGTTTAAAGACCTAGTTGCTTTCTTCAGAGTCAAAGGGCATCGCAACTAGGAACGTTGTAGGAAACTTTCACTACGTACAAAAGAGGAAGTTGGCTGTTTTTATAAAGCAAAAGGAGCTGGAAAGCCTCGGTGCTAAGATCTGAGCACAGATATATATGTGTGTATATATATGTATAATTAAAAAGAAACAAACCAGAAACCAGGGCATTTCAATTTTTTTTTTCTTTTTTTAAAAAAGGAGGTTTATAAGTCTGGAGTCCCTTAAAGGACTTAATACTGAGAAAGGGAGGTGTCTTCCTCCCTCACAAAGGCCAGGGCAGATTAAGTTTGGTCCGCTAGTAAAATGCTGAAGGCTTAAAAACCGTCCTTGCTTCTGAGCAGACGTGCTTACAGTAGAGTTTAAAGGGGGCAGGGTGCTATCGCTTGCGCTAAAATAAAAATCAAGATTTAAAAATGAGCAAGACGTCCATGGATGTGTGACACCCCCCCCTTCGCCCCCACCAAGAGGATAGTTTCTCCCTTGGAGAAAAGGCTGTTCTTGGTGCATCAGAAGTTTCTTGACCTAAAAACGACATACGTTAAAAAACAAAAAACAAAACCTAAAGAACCAACACCCCAATACGGCAGTTTGAAAGGGGGGGTGGGAGTTTTAAATACAAGTTAAAAATAAAACGTCAACGTTCATCCTTTTGCAAAGCGTTCCAAGACCAACAGACACCCTGATTCCCCCCGCCCTTCTGCTCCCGGGGAGGATCGGGAGCACAGAGAGAAGCCCCTCGCAGCATCGAGACGTTCTCTGCTCAGGCATTTGGGACCACCTAGAAGGGTACCTGTCCCTTCTTGAGATACAGCCTGGAAAACGCCTGTGGCTCAGGGAACGCTCTTCCGCCTGCGCCAGAGGAAACTCGGGGTCCCCCATGAGAGACCCGGCGGGCTTCAGGAACGTTGGCGGATAACACTACTTTGCTGCAGGTGTGTGTGTGAGGGGCTGAGCCCCCCGTTTTGTCTGTTCAGATCAGTTAAAAGTTCTAGGTATCAGCAGCCTGGGAAGGGCTGGAGGTTCAGTGCTCCACAGACAACGCAGAGAGCGTGGAGGAAAGTCTTCCGCTCACGTCTAAAGAAGGAATCCACCCCATGATATTTCACTGCAAAAAAGAAAGAAAGAAAAGGGAGTTAGGCAGGTTTCAGGAAGGTCGTGCCTGCAGCTTAGGAGGAGATTTCTGTGGTGGAGTGATGCATTGCAGGAGAAAAGGATATGCCATTTTTGGAAGGAGGCAAACTGAAATATCATTGGGAAGAAATGAGGATTTTTTAAAAAGTGGAAAGTAGCACCAGTTCTGGATGAGCGGGATCAGAGAGTGCAAATCCTGAATCCAGTTCGGTTCTGATCTTGTGGGGTTTTATTTAACTACTGTGGCTAAAACTGGAACTTCTCTTGTGTTACCCTGGAAGTGGGAGCTGCCTTAACAGGGCAGCTGCAAGCAGCAGCATAACTCTGGAACTCCCTGCCTATTGATAGCAGCACCTTCTCTGCACCCTTTTTGGTTTAGACAAGCCTTCCCAGACTTGGATGCAGAATGTGGATGTATGTTTTAATGTGTTTTTAGCTGATGTTTATCTTTTGAACATTTTAATAGTTGTTTTTACTGATACAGTCATACCTCTGAAGTCGAACAGAATCCGTTCCGGGGGTCCATTCGACTTCCGAAATGTTCGGCTTCCAAAGCACGGCTTCTGATTGGCTGCAGGAAGCTCCTGCAGCCAATCAGAAGCCGCAGAAGCCTCGTCAGATGTTCGGCTTCCAAAAGAATGTTCAAAAACCAGAACACTCACTTCTGGTTTTCGATCGTTCAGGAGCCGGAAGGTTCAACTCCCAAGGCATGACTGCAATTCTATTGTTTTATTCTCTTTGTAAACTGCTTCTTTTTACAATGTAAAATGTACAATGTACATTTACAATGTAAAATTCTTCTTTTTACAATGAAGTGGTGTGTACAATTTATTAAACAAATAAGCATAGGCAAAGTCGACAAGCAGCCGCCTGAGGTTTGCTAGTGCTTTGCTAGGTCTAACAGCGAGTTCCAAGAGTCCAATGCAATTACCAGGAGGGCACCAAGCTGGCGACCCCTCCTTCCTGTAAAAAAAAGACGACTTACAAAGCTGATCTCCGTCTCTGGCAAGTCTTCAAATTGCTCCGTCAGCTCAGAGGGACGTCCTGGTGCGGAGGGTCCTGGAGAAATGCTGAGGGGAGAGAGGGGGAAAATAAGATGCTTTTAAAAGGGGCGCTACGATTATGACGTGTGGCCTCCCCAGGTTACACTGCAAAGGCTGCTCAAAAACAGGACTGGTTTCGTTTATGGTACCAGCTTACATGGGCAGGTGTTTGCTACAAAGGAACCCCTTTCCTCCCCATAAGTGGCCAGCTGGTCGGTAGTAAGGGCCTCTCCCCCAAAGAACCCCACAGCTGTATCAGGCCAAAGGAGGCTCATCTTGTCCAGCTTCCTGTTCTCACAGAAGCCAACCAGATACCCCCAAGGGAAGCTCTTTAGCAGCATGTGAGAGTCACAGAGGAGGAGACCATCAAGATGCAAGGAGCTTCCCGTTGGTTCCCAGAGGGGCCTCAGGGCTGATGAGTCTTTCCTTTGTCTCCACTGCAGGAAGGGGAAATATCAGCTCCTTGCTGATTACCATATTTTTTGCCCTATAGGGCGCACTGGCCCATAGGGCGCACCTAGTTTTTTTTTGGGGGGGGAATATTCCCCCCCCCAGGCGCGGGGCTGGGGCAGGGGAAGCCCAAGCTTCCCCCGACCCCACAACAGGCTGCTCAGCACGCCCCAGGCTTTGGGATGCAGGCTGCTATCCGCAAGCCTGGGGAGCCCGGCGGGAACTCCTGTGGGCTCCCAAGGCTTGCGGGTAGCTTCCTGAAGCCTGGAGAGCGAGAGGGGTTGGTGCGCACCGACCCCTCTCGCTCTCCAGGCTTCAGCGAAAGCCTGCATTCGCCCCATAGGACGCACACACATTTCCCCTTCATTTTTGGAGGGGGAAAAGTGAGTCCTATAGGGCGAAAAATACGGTAGTTTAATCCACAACACGCAGAAAAAAAAATCTCAGCCAAACCAACTGGTAAAAACCAAAGCTTGAGAAAGTTTGACCTTCCCATTCATCATTTCCATGGAGGGTGGTGGGGAGGGGGCATTTGAGAAGTCAAAAAATTTATTGCTGGCAGCAAGAGTAACTCTTGAAGCACACAAGGATGAAAGGTGTGGGGTCTTATTTCTGTATAGCTGCTTGCTTAGCCCTTCCCAGGTTCCTGTTGCTCTTTCTCTGATCTCACTTCTTTTGAATCCAGTTAGCTTCTCCAGACCAACTCTTTGCCCCAACCTGAACCAAGAGAGAGTTCAGCTGCAGACAGAAGCTGATCTCACTAGAGGGAGAAAGTCTGTGTCTTGGCTGCAGTCGCTTCCAGCTGCAGGTGGCAGTTTAATGGGATCTGGGGCTCTTCTATAAAAAATAAGAATGGCTGCAAGCAGGAAACCTCTCCTTCTCCCTGATGAACTAGCTTTCTACATGCAGGAGAATTAAAACTGTGCAAAAGTCTTGAGTGCAGAATTACTGGCTGAGCGGGAATTAGACCTTGCTTAATGTAGCTCAACACCCCACAGAAGAGGGGGGGGGACTAAACCCATGGCAGTTTCCAACTTGCAATAAGCCCAACATGCAATTCCACGTTGGGGGGGGCTGTGCCTTAAGGGATGGGGATGACCATCATCTGTGGCCCTGCAGAGATTGCTGGAACTCCCAACTCCCATCAACCAGCATGGCCAACATTCAGGGATGATGATGATGATGATGATGATGGGAGTTGTAGTCTGGAAGCATCTGGAGGGCCAGAGGTTCTTCCCATTCCTGGGTATTATTGGGACACCGCACATTGATGGCTTCCTTGTCTGACAGGGTGAGTTTTTCACCTACTTGGGAGAACGTTGAACTAGCTACCTCTGAAGATAAGCTGTTTTCCTGTGACCTATGTGGAGATCAAGAGACAGACCTTTCATCATTCCTGAGATGGCTGTACTCTATTAAACACACACCAGTGACCCCCCCCAACTCCTTCCCTTCCCCCAAGATCTTCCGGGTTAAGGAAACCTCTCTTTTAAAAATAAAAAGGCAAGTGACAGCAGCCTCTCTAAAATGTGCTGCATTTCTATAGCCTGTTTCAGCTGAGAAAACACGCTATGTGCTGCGACAGCCGAAAAGGCAGATGGCAGAATAGGGGGGTATTTGTGTAGCAAGGGACAAAGTGAAGTGAAGGCTTCTTAAGGAAGAAGACTGCTTTAAAACACAATTGTTTTGCCGGCTTTTTAAAGCCTACTCCCGGGTTTTTCAATCCACGCATGTGCAAAACACAAACTGGCCTTTTCACAAGGTGACACAAATCCCTAGCTCCAATTTCTCTCTCTCTCTCCACGCCCAATCTTCACAGGGGCTGGGAGAAGTTCCTCAAAAATGGGGCAACTGGGTCGTCTAAAAGTGCATGAGAAAGAGGAGAAGGAAGAATGTGTTGTGGAAGAACCCCGAGGGGCCAGCGCAAGGCAGGGAGGTGGCCAGGCAAACTGCTCACAGCCAATGCTGTTTCCCTGGCTTTGAAGCAGCGGCACCCAAACTCCTGAACACAATCCCCAGGGAGGCTCCCCTTGTTGCTGTTTTGAGGACAGGATAAGCTGCCTTGGTTTCCCCCAGGTGTTTTTGATCCTGCCTTTTCATTTCTGTGCAGTCTTCACACACACCTCTCGAAACGTATCATTTGTATGTTTTGATTGTGGCTGTTGTTTTCTTAAGATGTCCTGGGCGGTCTATCTGAAGGGTAGGGCGGAAACCCCCAAAATAAAAGAAGTTGGCTGACAGGAGCTTATCATGCCTTATTTATTTCTTTAATCCCACAATCTGTTCCGGGGTGCTAAAAACCGGATCCAGATGCACCTCCCTAAGGGCTTCCTGGTTTGCATAAAGACAGACAAAGCAAGGCAGTCTCCACCTCCCTTAATCTATAAGCAATTTTCTTTTCCTTTTGGAACAGTTTTCGAACTTGTGAATAAATAGAAGAAAAATGCCCCACCGGCTGGTCTGTGTTATGTCTCATCTCACCTACGGCTACTGCTGAGGCTGAACCTGGTCTTGCTAGAACACATGTCTGCATAGCTCTGCCTGTAACCTAGGCAAAGATTAAAAGGGGAAGGGGGAAGGGTTAAGTGCATCATTCTATGTGGGCGAGACTGAAAACACAGCTGGACACCAAGCTGTGAAAAACCCAGGGAAGCCGTCTGAACAGCAGTCAGACCCAGCCTTTAGAGTCTGCTTTCTGGGGCAGCTAAAGGAGGGCTAGAAGTCTGTACGGCTGACTGGGTGGGCAGGGAGGCGGGAAAAGCAGCTTTGCTGGATCAGACCAATGGCCGATCTCAAATCCAGTATCCTTCTTTCCCATAATAAGTTAGCCAGATGTCTCTGGGAATCTGTTCGGTCCCCATCGTGGGGTGCTCTCCATCCCAGGTGTGGGTAGGCTGGGCCGCAATCAAGAGGAACCTTTGCAGGATGGTTACGGATGATGGGGAGGGCAGGGAGGAGACAAGGCATGGATTCCTGCTCTGCCGCTGCCACGTACAGTCACAGCAAAGAGGCATTTCAGAACAGCGTTAAGAATAATCCAAACACCATCCAATCAGGACAGCAGAAAAGCCCCTCCTCAAGTTCAAAGGTCAAAAAGAGACAGCTACTAAACCACGGTTCAGGTCTTGGCCCCCCACCCCTCACCTAGGGAAGGAGGTCTCCGGAGTCGGATCCTTTGAGGTACCTGATTTGTGGACTTCCACTCCTATCGACCTAAACAGAGAAATAAAGAGAGAGAGAAAGAGATGGAGAGCATGCCTGACTCTCAGTGGCAATGAACTCAGTGGAGAGGATCTAGGAATCTGAGTTGCTCTACACAATACTTTTTTGAAAAGGAGCAAAAAACACACAAGACAGCTGGCACGGCTGAACCAAGAAAACGAACGTTCATATATATTCTCCCTCTTTTTTCTCCTTTATCATGGAGAAGAATCCCACAATCCAATTTCCAAGCTGCTGATTCAGCAAGAGATGCCAATAAAATTTTAATCTTTAGTCCAGGAGTGATTCCCCCCCCCTTAAAAAAAACACCAGCAGGTGGAGCTGCCAACTAACCCCCAACCCAGCATCACCCCCTTTTTTATTTCCTTAAATCTCCTCTTCTCATCTTCTTGTTACATACAGGAGAGGGAATTTAAAGAGGGGGTGGAAATGGGGGTGAGGCTGGGTTGGGGATTGGTGATAAAGTAACAGAGAAGGGAAGGAACATTACATGAAAAGGGTGGCGAGAGAGAAATCAAGCTAGCTTGGTATATTTGTGTCAAGAAAGCGCAACTGCATTTCGTCCAGTAAGGTGCAAAAGCGGGGAGAAGCAAGACAAGACAGACTTTTTAACCACAACTGATGAGTGACTTCAATTAAGCGCCCTCAAAAAAACCTGACAGCTCCCTACCTGAAGCTGTGATTTCCCTCATCTCTGTCTCTTCATGCCATGCAAATTTATATTTTAAAAGGGGAGATTCCCAAATGCAGGGGCTGACTCAGGTCACAAGGCCCCCAAGCAAAACTGCTTTTGGCAAAGAGCCTGTTGCAATTAAAACAGGGTTGTTGGTTTTTTTTAAAAAAAAGTTAGTCGTAAATGGCAATACCGCTGGTCGTGCAGCTGAAGACTAAGCTTAGCAGGGTGGGCTGGGCTAAATACAGGAGCAGTTTTGAAGTCGCATGCCAAAACCCTCTTGCCCCGGCAAAGGCAAATCTTGTGATAATGAAGACGTTGCCAAGGGTCTTTGTGACAAAACAACCAGTCTATATGTGGCTTGCAGCCTGCGTGGATGTTTCTTCCTAAGCGAGGGGAGGTTGCGAGGGAGAAGTGAAGTCCTGATCCTACAGCTTCTCATTACACCCCCCAAAAACCCCTTGGGGAGCTCTAAGAACAGACTGACTGAATCAGAGCAAAAGTCTGTCTGCTCTAGTTTCCCGTCCCAAGCAGATGCCTTCCCTGAAAAGCTCACAAACAGGATGTTTTTAACACTCAGTTGGGAGCCACCCAGAGTGGGGAAACTGGGGAACTCAGCCAGATGGGTGGGGTATAATTAATTATTAATTATTATTATTATTATTATTATTATTATTATTATTATTATTATTATTAGAGCCCCCTACACACCCACACCCCTGAAATTCCATAGCTGCCTGCCTCTGAACCTCAGATGCAGCCTGGTATCTGTGTCCTTCATCTCCCTGTTGAACTTCGACTTATACAGTGGTACCTCGCAAGACGAATGCCTCGCAAGACGGAAAACTCGCAAGACGAAAGGGTTTTTTGTTTTTTTGAGCTGCTTCGCAAGACGATTTTCCCTATGGGCTCGCTTCGCAAGACGGAAACGTCTTGCAAGTTTGTTTCCTTTTTCTTAACACCGTTAATACAGTTGTGACTTGACTTCGAGGAGCAACTCATAGAACGCAGTGTGGTAGCCTTTTTTGAGGTTTTTGAAGACTTTGGTGATTTTTGAAGCTTTTCCAAAACTTTCCCGAAATCGTGCTTCGCAAGACGACAAAACTCGTGGAACGAATTAATTTCGTCTTGCGAGGCACCACTGTAGTAGACTAAAGGTCAGCGAGAGCAGGCAGACCCCAAGCCCACTCCTTGAGGGATGCCAGCTGGCCCACCAGCTGCCAGCTTCGAAGGCAAAAAGAAGGGAGGGGGAGAAGAATGCAAACCACAGTCAAATAAATATGCTCTATTACAGGGGAGGGGAGGGACCAGAGGATCTGTGCAGCACACCTCAGTCACTTTCCCAAGGCAGCCACTTCCCTTCAGGGAAAGCCAGCTGCAAATCTGGGCTGCCATGACCACTGCCTGCAGATCCCTCAGCCCTAGATCGCAGGATGCGACAGTTAATTTTGTAATAAAATAAGCCCAGCCTCACTTCGAACAGTCTTATGGCAGACTGGTTTCTACACATACACACATGGAAAACCTGCGAGTCAACAAGAGGCCAGCAGCCGGGCCCAGCCTTACCTGCTGGCTGGTGAATCGTGGCTCCTGCTCCCGAAGGAGGAGGTGGATAAGGTTGTGGCAGCTGAGTCGCTGTTTATTTCCTCTGCAAGGGGAGTGTGGGGGAGAAGGTCAGGGCGGCCCAGCTGGGAACCTGAGGAAGAGGGGGAAAGGGGTGGTCAAGCTTTAAAGCTGTAATTTGAGGACAAATTTGTAATTTTAATTTGTAATTTGGCATCTTCATCCTCCCCGTCCTTCCTTTCATGTCTTAGCCTGGAACCTGCCAGGATTTCTCCCCTTGCCTGCTCACCCACTCCCAGCCGGGGGAACCCTTGGTGTTGTTCCATGCCGTAGATGGGAGAGGCTTCCTCAACAGATCCCTGCTTCGCTTCAGCTAGTACCATAGGAAGCTGCTTTGTACCAAGTCAGAGCTTTGGGCCAGCTTGCTCAGTGGTGTCTACACTGCTTGGCAGCAGCTACTCTCTAGAGCTCCATGGCTCTCTCTCAGCCTGGCTGGGATACGGCATTGGGGACTGAACCTGGAACAAAACCGCTCTCCCCACTTCCTCTGGGTCTCTGCCCTACCCCACTCCATCCCAGACTAGTTTGAACAGCATCATGCTCAGAAAGACAAACAGAAGCCCCACCCCTGGTTACCGTATTTTTCACCCTATAGGACGCGCTGGCCCATAGGACGCACCTCGGGTTTTTTTTTTTGGGGGGGGGAAATGAATAAAAAAACTTATTCCCCCCCCCAGCCGCGGGGCAGGGGAAGCCCAAGCTTCCCCCGACCCCAGCCCCCAGAACAGGCTGCCGCCCACAAGCCTTGCGAGCCCGCGGGAACTCCCCCGGGGCGCACAAGGCTTGCAGACACCTGTGCGAAGCACGGGGCATCCTCCGGAGGGCGCCCCGTGCTCCGGGCGGTAGGTTGCCCCCGCAAGCCTTGCGCGCCCGGGGGAACTCCCCCCCCCGGGCGCGCGAGGCTTGCAGATAGCTTCCTGAAGCCTGGAGAGCGAGAGGCGTTGGTGCGCACCGATGCCTCTCGCTCTCCAGGCTTCAGCGTAAGCCTGCATTCGCCCCATAGGACGCACACACATTTCCCCTTCATTTTTGGAGGGGGAAAAGTGTGTCCCATAGGGTGAAAAATACGGTAAATCCACCACTGGGCCGAGCCATTACGCACGGAAGGGGAATGAAAGCATTTGAACAGAAGAGCCTGGTCCCCCAAGAAATCTTTCCCCTGTCTCTGCGGAGGGTTCTTATGCAAGGAGCATGAAACCTCCCTGCTTGAAGCATGGAATGCTGCAGCCGAGCAACTGATGAAGACAACTCTGGGTGTCGCCACGGCTTGTCAGGCTGGGACAGGCAGGAAGGCCTTGGTCCTGGCATGCCTCCTCCTCCTCCTCCCCATTCCCCCCCCAACCTCTGGGGAGCCACCAACCTTGCTCGACTTCCGCCTCCATCGTGAACTGCGCTTTTGCCTCGCACAGCCCTTGCACCTGGGATGGGGCGCCACCCTGGCCTGGCCGCCGGGGAGGTCCTGCACCAGACCGGCTCTTTTTCGAAGGGGAAGATTTAACTTGGAAAGGGAAAGAGAAACCACAGACGTGTATACCAGATGTAGCCTTATTGGCAGCCTTCATCTTGCCTATTAAGCAAGGCACAAGGCCTAACACACACAAAATATATGGGGGTGGAAGGGCACTCAAATCACTTGAAATAGAAAGCCTTTTAAGTAGCTGCGACTCAACAATAACCAAGTTAGGACCACCGGGGAGGAAAATGGAGCTGAAATGCCCAACATGCTGTAGTTTAGTGGTTTCCCAAGGTCTTGAAGGGATGCTCTCTTTGGGGGTTTGCTGAGCAAGACCCTTTATGTAGTGGGCAGAGTGCTGAACTAGGATACGGGGAAGACCACGGGAGAAATCCCCACTCAAGCCAGGAAGCTGCCTGGGTGTGACCTTGGAGCCAGTCACTGCCTCTCAGTCCTCCCAAAGGGCTTTTGTGTGGACTAAGCGAGGACGCGGGTGGCGCTGTGGGTTAAACCACAGAGCCTAGGACTTGCTGATCAGAAGGTCGGCGGTTCAAATCCCAGTGACGGGGTGAGCTCCCATTGCTCGGTCCCTGCTCCTGCCAACCTAGCAGTTCGAAAGCACGTCAAAGTGGAAGTAGATAAATAGGTACCGCTCCAGCGGGAAGGTAAACGGCGTTTCCATGCGCTGCTCTGGTTCGCCAGAAGCAGCTTAGTCATGCTGGCCACATGACCCGGAAGCTGTCTGCGGACAAACGCCGGCTCCCTCGGCCAATAAAGCGAGATGAGCGCCACAACCCCAGAGTCGGTCACGACTGGACTTAATGGTCAGGGGTCCCTTTACCTTTTTAAGCGAGGAAGGGGAGAACCACGAGTGCCACTTTGAGCTCCTTGAGAGAAAAAACGTGGCATAGAAATGCAACAAATAAATGAAACAGGTAAGGTGTTGGGCCTGAACCTTTACTTCAAGGCACGGGGCCTGATCCATCAGCTCACTGGCTCTGAAGCCGGGGCTGCAGGAACTGCCTTGTTCCAAAGTCAGCCCACTGGTTCATCGTCACCAGGGTCACACGCTCAAACAGGCAGCAGCTTCCGGAGGTCTCCTCAAGCCCGGCAGCTTTAACCAGATAGGCTGGACAGTCAACCCAGGGGCCATCGACAGGCAAAGCCTGGCACTGTGACTGCGCTTCAGCCCCTCTCCCTAAACATCCCACAAACTGAGAGGTTTCAATGGCTTCTCGACCACCTGCGGCCTTCTGGGCGCTGTTGGACTCCCATCAGCCAGCATGGCTATTGCTTGTCAAGGTTTTTTAGAAGCTCCAATGGTTTCTTATTGTCTTAACTCTGCAATTCTTTTGAAATTTATACTGCTCTAACTTTTTGATGTTTGTCTCCCTGGGCTCCTTTGGAAGGAAGAGCAGAAAGTAAATATAATAATAATAATAATAATAATAATAATAATAATAGGAATGATGATAGGAGTCCTGCAAACATCTGGAGAGGCAAAAGTCCCATGCCCTGGGCTAAGAACTGCTTAGATCATGTACCATCCAGTATGGCAGGGTTTACTTTGGGTCTGCCAGGAATCCTTCCAGGGCACCGATGCAGCAGAATTGTCACACTATTTTCAGAGGGGCCCCAGAAAAGCCTGCTAGAGCTCTTCCCACCCAGAACAGGGTACGTTTGTGACCACTGAAGCTAAGTAACTTACAAGGGATTTTCTTGAAGACAACGTTACACATGAACCGCTGGAACCTTTCCGCGTAAAAACTGGGCCGGTGAACCGAAACCGTGTCCTGCAAAACAGCAATGAAGAGCCAAATGGCAAAGAGTCACATCAAGTGAAAAGAGCCAAATGGCAAAGAGTCACATCAAGGATGAAAGCAGGTGTGAGGGATTTAAAGAGGAAAAAAACAACAACAAAAAAACCCAAGGCAACAAAATTTAAATTGGAATAAAACCAGCAACAATTTGCCCCCATAGTACAAAAAAAGCCACCTCAAAAGCTGACATCTACACAATACATGGCCAGAAAAAAACTGACCAGAAACTGATAATTCATAACAAAAGGGCCCATTGTATGCCAGAAAAGAAGTCAAAAACTGGTGCCCAAAAAGATGTTTGGTGTCAGGTGGGCTTCTCTGGAGAAACCACCCCAAAGCATTAAGGAGAGTTCACCCCAAAAGCTTCGTTCTATTCACTGAAAACAACAACAAACTATTACACCATCTAGTTCCAGGAAGAAACTCAAGGCCGCTAACAAATAAAAAACGCCACAAAATGACTGGATCCTTGCATCTGCAGGCTCTGGTCTCCCCCCGCCCCCAAAGAAATGACAGCCCAAAATGACATACAAAAGCGGGGGGAAGGGAATAGGGTTCTCTCTCTCTCCTTTACACCCCCCCCCTTTCCTCCCTCTTCAGAGGAAAAGCAAACAATCGTCACCACCCAGCACTTCCCAGACAAGACAGAACAACAAGAAGCAGTGGGTTTTGGCTGCTCACCCCATCATGAACAAGGGCTTTCCACGAGTGCTCCAACTTCTTAATGAACCTAGTAAGAAAGATTTTGAAAGGTGGGGACAAGTTAGCCTCGCAGATTTTAAAATCAGTGCATTTCTTGGAGGGAGGGGAGAAGAGGAGGAGACAAAGCAACCTTCCACTCTTCCTAACCCCATGTTTTGTCCACTGGCCTGCCATCCATCTTGCCTGTAATCCAAGCCTCCCAAATTCAGCTTCCTTCCAGAGGGATGCTCTAGGCCTCGCCAGGAGGATTACCTTGTCTGCTCCTGGATCCCCTGGTTTTGCTATTCCCCCAATTCTTAATAAATAAAATGGCTGATTCTAAACATGTCTGGTTAGCCTCGAATCTCAAACACAAAGCAGGCTGATTTCTACTTTTGTGGTTTTTTCTTGAAAACACATGCACACATCCCTCACTCTGAAGTTTAACTGGCTGCAACTCACCACTGAGTGGTTTGTTGCCTTGACGCCACAGAAACATTTTGCTAACCGTGCAATACGCTGAGCAAATTCCTGGCCAGAGCAAGCCACCGCCTGCTCCCTTTCCTCTCGCCTGACTCCCAGCCCATGTTATCACTTCCTGTACACTTCCCTCGGCACAACAACTCAACCCGATGTGCAGCCTAATTTGCGAGGGCTTGCCCGCTCAGCCTGCTTCGTCAGTCTTAATTACTTCCAGCGAGCAGGAGATTCATCGCTTGCCCGTCGCCATTTCCTTGGTGGTGAAGGCAGCCCTGCACCTCTTTGGGCTCTACTCTGACCCCTGCACTGACAGCTTTAACTGTCAGCCTTTGGCCTGCTGAACTGATTGCCTCTGCATCTCCTCACAGCCACAGTAAGTTTTGTATCAGGGGAATGCAAGGCAGCAGTTTTCCTTGGACTTGAGATAAAATCACAACGCAGAAAAGCCCAGCCCTTAGGGAAGGCCAAGACCTGTCTCTTTCAGAGGGGTCCTCTAACTTCTAGGTGGGAATTGGGAGTCTAGCCACAGCTGGAGAGCCAGCGGTTAGCCACATCAGAGGTGGGGAACTATTTGTCAACCCAAGGGCTGTTTTCTTTTGCGCGGCAAGACTTTGGGGGGGGTGAGGGCACACACGGCAGTGGTGGATGGGGCCAGAGGTCAGAGCAGGAGGGGCAATGGACCGGTCTTTGTACATTCCAGCTATGCAGATGCCGAAAACCTTTACACACACAAAGGCACCTCTCCCCATCCAGCCAAGCAAAAGTCACGACCACAGTTCTCAACGGGAAGAGTTCCTTTGCTGGGCGAGTCCTAAGGGCTGGGCAGAGAAGCCCAGAAAGCTGCATTTGGCCTCCAGCTTTTGCCATCTGTGCTGGTCAGGGATGATGGGAGTTGTAGTCCAGCAACCTCTGGAGGGCCCCAGGTTGGCAATGGATGGATGAAGTGGCAAGAACGTAAGAAGAGACCTGCTGGATCAGGCCAATGGCCCACCTAGTCCAGCATCCTGTTCTCACACTGGCCGACCAGACGCCTGTGAGAAGCCTGCAAGGAGTATTCCAGCACAACAATCACTTCCTGGGGTTTCCAGCAACTGGTACAGTGATGCCTCGCAAGACGAAATTAATTCGCTCCGCGAGTTTTGTCGTCTTGCGATTTTTTCCGTCTTGCGAAGCACGGTGTCGGGAAAGTTTTGGAAAAGCTTCAAAAATCACCAAAGTCTTTAAAAGCCTCAAAAAAGGCTACCACACCGCGTTCTATGAGTTGCTCCTCGAAGTCAAGTCCCAACTGTATTAACGGTGTTAAGAAAAAGGAAACAAACTTGCAAAGACGTTTCCGTCTTGCGAAGCAAGCCCATAGGGAAAATCGTCTTGCGAAGCAGCTCAAAAAACGGAAAACCCTTTCGTCTTGCGAGGCATTCATCTTGCGAGGTACCACTGTATTCAGAAGCAATGCTGCCTGCAACCGTGGAAGCTGAGCAAAGCCATCACGATGCAAAGTTGGAGACTCCTCACCTGTAAGACTGCAGCACGTCAATGATCCCCACGTAGAGAAGCAGCCTCTCCCCCTTGGCGTTCCGGGCCGGGATCCCTCCCATTCTGGGCGAGAGAAAAAGAAAAAAGAGTCGAGTCTCAGGAGGTGCCCCAGCCCAGCCGAAAGGCATTTTCACCCACTGCTCCCACTCCTGTGGTTCAGCCCCACACAGAGCCCATTGGCAACAATTAGGCCTGGCTTGCCACTTGGCAAAAAGGCCCACACACAAAGCGGGGAAAGGACTGGCTCGCAGCATGAGAACAGCCAGGTCAGCAGTTTTGGGGAGAGGCATTTGGAAAGCTCTTGAACAAAAGGCTTTGTGAGGTCTGAGGCCGAGATAACCGCTGCTCAGCTGTCACACGGTCTTCCCCAACCCGCTGCTCCCTCCGGTCATTTGAGATGAACGAATCCCGGCTACCCCCAAAGCAGCTGGAAATGCACTGAGTTGGGCTGGTTTAACGGCTGATCTAAGGAGCCTCCGAGGGGAAGGAGCAGCTCACGGGATCCAGGGTCTGGACTTCACAAGACAACACAGAGGACAGAGGTTAGCACCTCTCCCCCTAGCATCTGTCTGCCCCCCCCCCGTCATGCCTCCTATAGGTTAGAATTATCAATCCAAGCATCTAATAATAATAATAAATTTTATTTATATCCCGCCCTCCCCAGCCGAAGCTGGGCTCAGGGCGGCTAACAACAATCAAATAACCAAATAGTTGAATAATCACAAATAATCTAAATCTTATGGGGATTGCATGCACCTCTTCTGAATTCAGAGCAATTTAGCTTCAGAGACCTGCTTCTGAAACATAACTGATCTGGCATAGGGCAGCTTCCTTGGAGATAAGAGATGCAGGAGGAAAAGTGAAGACTGTGGCAGGTGAACTTTCCGGGGCCCCCAATTCAAAGGCTAGTGGTTGAGGTGATGCCAAACCCCACAAGCCCCCTGAAATTTAGAGCTCCAACCTGCTCTCTAGGACAGCTACAGCCCACTATCCCCATCGGCATGAAATGTTGCACAAAGATAAATACGCAGATGTCCTTCATCTGCATAATTCAGTGCAGGCAGCAAAACCAGGCTCTTCTCGAAGGGACTCAGATCTTCCTTCTCGCCCGGTTGGCTGGGCATCCCCGTTCCAAAGCGGCCAGAGACTTACTGGTCGTCCGTTTCAATGGTGCCGCCTCGCCGGGCTTCCCCTTGGATGGCCTCCATCGCTGTGGAGTACAGGGCCTTCTGGGGGGCTGGCCGCCGCGTGTCTGCCACGGCCGCCCCATCCGCCACGGCGCGCTCCCGCTGAGCCAGGTCGAGGTTGTGGACTGCCACGAGCAAGCTGTAGTCCATGATTTTGAAGCTCTGCAAAACCTGAAGTATCAAAAGCACACAGGTAACAATGCCGCTGGTATGTTGTAAAAATCAGTATCTAACTAGATCGAGGTATGCGGAATAATAATAATAATAATAATAATAATAATTTATTTATACCCCGCCCATCTGGCTGGGCCTCCCCAGCCACTCTGGGCGGCTTCCATAAAAACCAACTTGTGGAACTTGTGGCCCACCCCTCTCCATGGGAGCTAGAATCCAGCTAGATTTGGCAAGCATCAAATTTCCTTCCCCTGAGCTAGCAAAGGGGAGTCTGTGATATGTTGTTTGTTCCTAGCCATTTTTTTTAGTACAGTGGAACCTCAGTTTTTGAACATAATCTGTTTCAGAAGACCGTTTTGACTTCTGAAACATTTGAAAACCGAGGATCAATGGGCGGTCAGCAAGATCCATTGAAAAAAATGGAAAAACACACAGCAGAAGCCGTTCGACTTCCAAGGCATGTTCAAAAACGGAAGCAATTACTTCTGGGTTTCCGGCATTCAGGTTCTGAATCATTCGGTTCCCAAGACACTTGAAAACTGAGGTTCCACTGTACTCTACAGTGGTACCTCAGGTTACATACGCTTCAGGTTACAGACTCCGCTAACCCAGAAATAGTGCTTCAGGTTAAGAACTTTGCAATCGTGAACAGAAATCGTGCTCTGGCGGCAGGAGGTTAAGAACAGTTTCAGGTTAAGTACGGACCTCCGGAACGAATAAAGTTCTTAACCTGAGGTACCACTGTATTTACATTTGCAAGCTCCACACCTGCTCAGAGGCCCCAGCTGCCGCAACTCAGAGTGTGAGCAGAAGCTGCCTGGTGACCCCTGAGCCTCAGGTGGAATCAACTTTCCTCTTCCCACATACCAAGCAGTCTCTCTGCAGGGTCTTGCACAAGGCGCTGTACATGTCAGCGTCCAGGAAGAGGCCATCAGCAATGTCCTGCATGAAATCCAGGTCCTTGTAGGTGGGGAAGACCTTCTCCCGCTCTTTCTGGGAAGCCCGGCGCTTGTAGGTGGAGCCTTTCAGGTCGTACTTCTGGTGCATGCGCACTGAGCGGGGCAGCAGGTTGTTCATCACCACAATCCGGATGTTCTTGCCGCCAGCCTGCACACAGTAGAGGCCGTAGAACTTGGGGAGGAGGGTCCGGGGGTTCTGGTTCAAGTTCTGCAATAGTGGGGTCAGGGAGGGGGGAAAAAGCCAAAGTTCTCATTGCAAAGTCAAAGGGAAATAAAGATAATAACAAGTTCGGAGCTGGGTAGGGCCAAAAAGTCACCCCTCCCAGAATGAAGAGTAGTTTAAGCATCATTATATTTAATAAAACCTCTCATTCATCGTATGCTGCTTTAAAAACAAAAAAAGCAGAGAGACAGCATCGGATTGTTCTGTCGCACCCCAAGCTGACCGGCTCTCCCTCTCGGCTGACTCACCATGTAGTAACCCGGCAGCAGCTTCTGCAAGAACTCTGCCTCTTTGTGCTGAACTGTTTTGATGATGAACTCGTCATCGCTGGAGACGTAGAAGATGGAGCCGCTGGCTCCGGAGTTGGAGAGCTCAATGAGGGGCTCACTGCAAAGGGAGCACTGCGGGGAAAGGAGGCAACAGAAGAAATGGAGGAGGACATTCTCACAGGCTTCTAGCCCTGCCTCTCTGGACACGATGCCAGAGTTTCGGACAAGGGGCATCCCCAGCTCCACCTGGAGATGGTAGGGGTTAAAACCTGAGAGTTTTTACATGCAAGGCTGAGTTACAGCCCCACAATAACGAAAAGCAACCGAAAGACATCCCAGCGGCGCTCTTTCTCCAAGCCAGCTCCCAACGCTCAGGGAGTTGCTTGTTCCTGCTCAATGCCACTCAAGGTGTACAGAGACTGATCTGGATCATTCCACCAGAGGAACCTCTGTTCTGCCCATTTTAAGTACAGCAGTCAGACTGAAATCTACCCACTCCACCCCGTCACAACTTATCTCTGTCCAGAGAGAAGATGGGGAATTCTTTTTAAAAAACTGTCAGGCACCTGCCTCCACTCACCAGGTAGTCATCCGGCCGGATCCCAAACAGTTCACGGAAATAGCGGAAGGCGACAGGAGCATAGGTTTTGAAGCGGAAATCGTTGTAGTGATGGGCCGGGGTGAGGTTGCTGCCTTCACTGGAGATTGAGAGGACAGAGGCAAATGAGCACCGCGCTCTTTCTGAGTCATCGCCATCTGCTAAAAGCGGCTAGTTCTCAAACCTTCTACCTGCATGGTCACTTTCCATATCAGTGCGTCTGTATCTGTGGCTCTGCTATGAAACTGGTACACAGCGCAGAGGGTTCTGGGAAGGCCCTAAGGAGCATCGCTGGCCCACACTGGCCCGCTGAGCCACGCCTTCACCCCTGTGTGAGCTAAAGATGTGCCCCCAAGAATGTACCACAGGGACACCAGTCTGTCATTCATGTGGGACCGCTAGTAAACTTTCCAGGGAGGCCATCAGGGTTCCTTGCAAGAGTTTTGCTGAAGACTGCTGAGCTCTGGAGAAACGATGTCCCTTAGCCCCTGCGTCTGTGTGCCACAAAGTATAAACAGTGGCGACCCCCCAAAAATGGGGCTCTTCTTCTTCCAGTGGGGTGGGAAACTTGCATCCCCCCCCCGACACTCCTGGACTCCAATGCCCATCATCTTTGACTATAGGTCACACTGGGCCTGGGACCCCTTTTCTTTAACTCTGTTTATAACATTGGAGGTGCAAGTAGCACCTCTATTCTGTTGTGTTTTTGAATCCCCCCTTTTAAAATGGTTTGTTTCTTATATTGCGTTCCAATGGATTTGTTAAAAGGCGTTTATTGTAAGCAGCCCAGAAAATGCTATGAAATGGGGTGAGATTCAAATGCTGTAAATAAACTAATGAGAGGTGGAAGCCCAAAACATCTGGATAACTGCAAGTTCCCTTGGAGGCTCCAGGCCCCTGTGCCTTAATGTTTTGTCCACAGCCTCTGAAATTCTGAACTACTTTGTCAGCTGGGATCTTATACTGGGACAGACCACTGGCCCACCATGTCCAATGCTGCCTACTCTGACTAACAGCAACTTTCAGGGAAGGGGCATTTTATGGAAAAGGGCTATGGCTGAGCGGTAGAGTACCTGCTTTGGATGCACAAGGTCCCAGGTTCAATCCCATGGCATCTGCAGGTAGGGTGGGGGGGGGGAACCCCCTTGGGAAACCCTGGAGTGTGGCTGCCAGTCGGTGTAGACTACACTGAGTTAGATGGATCAATGGCCTGAGTCAACCAGCTTCCTGTTTAAAACATTCCTTTATCCCAAACCATGAGGACTAGAATCTTAGAGGAAATGTCAGTGGTAAGATCACTGGTGGCTCCCCAAGTTCAGTCCCAGCATCTCCAGGTACAGCTGGGGATGTCACCTGCCAGCTACTCAGGAGAGCTGCTACCAGTCAGTGTGGACAATACTAAGCTAGTCCGGCCAGTGGTCTGACTCGGTATTAGGTAGCGTCCTCTGTTTCCTGGGTCTCGAGCCAAGCAACATGTGTCCTGGAACCTGCTCCCTGAGATGGAAATGCCAGAGGTTGAAGCTGAGAGTTGCTGTGTGACAACCACAGACTCTCCCAGGGCTCACAGCTTGGTGCGTGTTTTATTTCTATTGCTTTTGCCATTTTAAAAATGTGTCGCTGGACTCCCTTCTGCCATGCCCCACCTGCTGCCTGCACTCAAGATGGGGACCACTGGAAAATGTAAAAACACTTACCCCGGGAAGAAGATGCTCTCCACTACATAGAAGTCTTGCATGAGGACATCTCGCTCTGGCTTGGTGCTCAGGCTCCCCACCGTGTGGGTGATCCCAAGCTGGATGGCACCTTTGAGGGCCGACGAAGTTGTCTGGAGGGGGAAACAGAGAACTGGCATTAGCCTCTCTTTTGTGGGATTCTGCAAGACACTTCCAAGCACATTCTTTTGGACGCAAGCGAAGAACGTCAGCATTCCACCACGCTTTCGGAAACTCCAAATTTTACCCTAACCCTGCTGATTAAAGCATTTTTTTTTAAAGGTTGAAAACTCCTCTGTAGGAGAATGGGAAAGGGAGAATTGTGGACAATAAGGCTGTTGATAGTTAAACTGTGGAGGAAAAGAAGGTACAGTGGTACCTCTGTTTACGTACTTAATTCGTTCCGGAGGTCCGTTCTTAACCTGAAACTGTTCTTAACCTGAGACACCACTTTAGCTAATGGGGCCTCCCACTGCTGCCATGCCGCCGCCGCACGATTTCTGTTCTCATCCTGAAGCAAAGTTCTTAACGCGAGGTAATATTTCTGGGTTAGCAGAGTCTGTAACCTGAAGCGTCTGTAACCCGAGGTACCACTGTACAGTGGTACCTCGGTTTAAGAACAGTCCTGTTTACGAACGAATCAGTTCACGAACTCTGCAAAACCGGTAGTGTCCCGATTTGAGAACTTTACCTCGGTCCAAGAACGGAATCCGAACGGTGGAAGGGCACCGGTGGCGGCAGGCCTCATTAGGGAAAGCGCACCTTGTTTTAAGAACAGTTTCGGTTTATGAACGGACTTCCAGAACGGATTAAGTTTGTAAACCGAGGTACCACTGTACCTTTTATCATATATAGTGGTCATGTAAGGAAATAAAGGGTTTCTGGGAAATTATATACAATGAACTGAAAATACATGTTTAAAATAACTTTTGTAAAAAACCCAGAAGCCTTTTTATTAGGAATTATAGGTACCAATATCCCAAAGGAACAGAAAAGACTCTTTATGTATGTGACAACAGCAGCACAGATGCCACTAGCCCAGAGATGGAAAGAAGAAAGAGTCCCTGCCAGAGAAGAATGGCAAGCCAAGCTGCAAAGACTAGGCTGAAATGGCAAAACTGACTGGCGAAGCTCAGGGACCAAGAGGACAAAAACTTCAAGAAAGAATGGGGAAAGTTCATAATTTATTTAGGCGACCGCTGCACGCAGATGGAAACATAAGCCGGATATTAATCTCACTTGTAATGTAACAAACACTATGGACAATATGGATAGATATAAAATATAGATTATGAAATAGTATGCAGTTAAAAATGTTGACAATAGGACCCATGGAAGGGATGGGAAGGAAGTCTCGAGATTCAGAGAAATCTCTTTATTTGGAAATGTATTTGGTATTGTTATAAATTTAGATTTGTAAAATCAAATAAAAACGATTAAAAAAACCGATAGTTAAACTGTGGAAGTCGCTCCCACAGGAAGCAGGGATGGCCACCAACTTGGATGGTTTTAAAAGAAGATTGGACAAATTTAGGGAGGATATGACTATCAATGGCTACTAGCCAGGATAGCTGTGCTCAGCCTCCATGGTCAGAGGCACTAATGCTTCTGAATATCCACTGCTGGAAACTGCAGGAGAGTGAGTTGCTCTTGGGCTCAGGTCTTGCTTGAAGGTTTCCTAAAGGAATCTGATTGGCCGCTGTGAGACCAGGATGCTGGACTGGACGGGCCACTGGCCTGATTCAGGAAACCTTTCATTAAGTTCTTCCCTGGAACATCCAGTCCTTATTCTTATGAGAACTTCACACAACACTGCTGAACTAGAGTTGACCACAAGATGTGGCTGTGCCAGCTACAGTCCAAAACATCTGGAGGGCCTCAGCTTGGGAAAGGCTGCGTTGGAGCTATCCTACCCTGACCAAGTATTGTGAAGGTGCACTTAGTGAATTATCACAAGCTGTGCTGCTTACATTTCAGTGCCGAGTGACCCACCAGCTTGCCATCTCCCCTTCCCCATCTACGCTGATGTTTAAGCTATCTACCTGTCCTGTACTCTCTACAAAGACCTGAGGAACGAGATCACCACCCCACTCGTACTAACCATCCCAGGGCGCTCAGCCGCTGCCACGATGGCCTTTCTTCTATCAGATCAAAATGAGCAGATAACAGCAAAGGTTGCTAGGTTCATAGCAGGGGCGATGAGAATAAGGGCCACTAACTGACGGCTGATTTAAATTGTGCTCTTATATCAAATTTCCTTTTCTGCGTATACTGTAATGCTTTACTGTTGCTATGGCCATTGGCTAATGCGAATAAAGTTTTATCTATCTATCTGCCTACCAACTGAAGAAAACACCTATGTCCGATGAGGTACAAACATAAAAGCCTGCTGGATCAGGCCAATGGCCCATCTAGTCCAGCATCCTGTTCTCTCAGTGGTCAACCAGACCAGATGCCTGAGGGAAACCCATGAGGAGCATTTGAGCATAAAGAGCCCTCTCCCTTGCTGTGTTTTCCAGCAACTGGTATTCAGAAGCACTGCTGCCTCCAACTGTGAAGGCAGACCACAGCCATCCCAGCTAAAAAGGTAAAGGTAAAGGGACCCCTGACCGTTAGGTCCAGCAGTGGCCAACTCTCGGGTTGCGGCGCTCATCTCGCTTTACTGGCCGAGGGAGCCGGCGTACAGCTTCTGGGTCATGTGGCCAGCAGGACTAAGCTGGTTCTGGCGAACCAGAGCAGCGCACGGAAACACCGTTTACCTTCCCGCCAGAGTGGTACCTGTTTATCTACTTGCACTTTGACGTGCTTTCGAACTGCTTGGTTGGCAGGAGCAGGGACCGAGCAACGGGAGCTCACCCCGTCGCGGGGATTTGAACCGCCAACCTTCTGATCGGCAAGTCCTAGGCTCTGTGGTTTAACCCACAGCGCCACCCGCGTCCAGCAGCCCTCAATAGCCCTCTCCTCCTCCATGAATTTGTCTAATCCTCTTTTAAAGCATCTGCTGTAAGCGATCACTTCCTCCTGTGGGAGTGAATTTCATAGTTCAACTACAGCCTGCAGAAGCTTCTGCTGCGATAAATCCATCAGCCTTTCAAGAAAGGTTCCACAAGACTTTCTGTTGCATTTTTAAATAGGCAGTTTAGTCTGCAAAATAATGAAGGAAGCCCAGCCGGTGCAGAACATGGCAATGGGCTTTTGCTCGGCGGAGCTTCTTAGAATGCATGCAGAACACTGATGCTGAAAAGAACTGCGCTGGTTGCCAGTTAGCTACTAAGCCAAGTTCAAGGTGCTCATACTGGCATTTTAATTGAGATTTTATGGCTGCGTTTTGGCTTTCCTTAAAAGAAAAGGCAATATACACATCCTTTAGATGTAAAATAAATCTGCCTTGGGAACTCTGCTGGAACCTCATGACGCAAACCATCCCCGGCCCGTCCCCCCACAAAAAACATAAAAGCTGCTGCATTTAAGACAAAATCCAGGTAAATATATATCTGCTACTGCCAGGCCCAGATCAGATCACCGCTTATCTTCCAAATGGCTCCAGGCGTCTCCGTCTGCAAGAAGCGATTACGTAATATACTTTTATCTGGCTTTTTAGACAATTATCACCTCCAACTGTGGCTCGCAAATATTTAACAAGAGAAGAAGAGGGTGGTGGTGTCCTGGCATTTGGCTTACACACATAAAAACATATCAACAAGGAGGCAAGATGAAAAGGGGGCAGGAAGTGGAAGAAAAGGCCCTTGAGAAGGTAATCGACAGCTCTTGGCCAGGGCTACCAATTTGCTAGGAAAGATATAGGCAGCTGCCAAAGGAACAATAAGGCGACACCTCTTTATTTGGACAGACTAACAATTGTGAGCAAGCTTTCGAGCTGTCAAAATTCTTCTTCAAGCATAACGTTAAGCAAAAGGCAGGAGACGGGAAAGAAAATGCTGAACAGTCCCAAAGCTTGTCATTGATGAGAGATTTAAGACAGAATATGGGAGAGACTAAGCAGACTTCAGATTATCTTCCTTGGGGTGAAGTTTGTCTGAATCAAGGCTCATAGATAAACTCGCCCCTCACTGACTATGGACTGTAACCAAGAACAACCCTTAAGTCAGTGTGTTGCTTAACTGCAGCTCCCATCAGTCCCAGCGAGTAGGGTCAGTGGTGGGGAATCATGATGGGAGTTGCACTTCAGCAACACCCGGGGGCCAAAGGGAGGACCCCATGCCTGACTTAAGTTAGAGGCATGCAGAACGTTGATGGGGACAGGAGAGGCAAATGGTGGAACACCACAAATCAACAGCCAGTTTTGAATGCTGTAAAACAGAGGAATTCACAAAAGGGAGAAACAAGATAAATCTGTGTATGTTGCAGGACCAAGGAGAAAAACGAAGCACCAGCTCTATTCAAAACACATGGTTGTCTGGGGGAATGGGTGCGCCCAGGCAAGCCTGCTGCGCGGTGCCCAATATTATTCATTGTTTTCTATCAGGCCTGTCTGAGAATGTGATGGAAGGACGCTCCCCGACAACGGCCTCACTGGATTCAAGTTCCGGCTCGTTCGGCAATTTCTAACACCAGCCAGGCTGTGCGCCTCTGGGAAACGCACAAGCCAGCCGCAAAGGAGAAAAATCACCTTCCTTTTGCCCTTAGCATCCAGCCTTGGTAGACTTCCTTTGTACACGGAGGTTCTACTTAGCTATTGGGGGTGATGGCGAGAGTTTGCTACCCTTCACGAATGCGTAAGAACCCAAGAAGGGCCCTGCAGTTGAACCGGGCCAAAGGGAGCGCACCCGGTGCAGCAGCCGGTTCTTGGAGTGGCCAACCAGATGCCCCGATGGAAAGTCAGTAAGCTGTTCCCAAGTGCAACGGCAACTCTCTCCTCTTGTGGTTCCCAGCAACAGGCATTCAGAGGCACACTGCTGCCTCTGAGCAGAAGCAGAACATAGCCATGGCAGCTCGTAGCCACTGAGAACCTTCTAAACACCTTCTGAAGCCATCCAACTTGGCCTGCCATACACATGGGAGTGAATCCCCCTGTTTCGCTATGCCTTGCGTAGGGCTCAGAAGAGCCCTACTGGATCAGGCGGAAGGCTTGTCTAGCTCAGCCTCCTGATCTCACAGGGGCCAAGCAGATGCCCCCAAAGCAGCAAAAAAACTTGCGTTCCCCCCACTTGCAATTCCCAGCAGCTGCCTCCTGCCCCCCAACAGTGGAGGCAGAACATAGTATCTGATTGTGCCTGCAGAAAGGCATTTTTGGACTCTGCAGCAGCTGGAGGAAGGCCGATAAACCAAAACTGAATCTTGACAAGACAGAGAAACTGTGGGTGGTTCCTGGGTCTGGGAAAATAGGTTCATCCTGCTCTGGCAGGGGGTTTCACTTCCCCAGACAGAGCAGCTACGCAGAAAGCGGGGCCCATCAGGGTAGCTCAGTTTGCCCATCAAGCGAAGTACAGTGGTGCCTCGCAAGACGAAAAACTCACAAGACAAAAGAGTTTTCCGTTTTTGAGTCGTTCCGCAAGACGAATTTCCCTATGGGCTTGCTTCGCAAGAAGAAAGCCCATAGGGAAATCTCCGGGGACCTCTTTTAAATGCTGGCGGTGGGGAGCAAAGCCTTTCGCCCCCCTCCGGCCTTCAGAAGAGGTCCAGGAAGGCCGGCGGGGGCCGAAAGGCTTTGCTCCCCACCGCCAGCATTTTAAAAGCGGTCCGGGATAGCAGGGAATTGCGCTGCGCTTTCCCGCTATCCCGGACCGCTTTTAAAATGCTGGCCGTCGGGAGCAAAGACTTTCGCCCACCGCCAGCCTTCCTGGACCTCTTCTGAAGGCCGGCGGCGGGCAAAAGTCTTTGCTCCACCCCGCCTGCCTTCCCGGGACAGCGGAGACTTCTCCGCTGTCCCGGGACGATCTTAAAATGCTGGCGGGCAGCAGCGAAGCCTTCGCTGCCGACCCCCAGCATTTTAAAAGTCCCCGGGACAGTGGAGACTTCTCCGCTGTCCCGGGCGATCTTAAAATGCTGGCGGGCGGCAGCGAAGGCGGTGGGAAGAAAAGCCCTTGTCCCCCCCCACCCCAGCCTTCAGAAGAGGTCGGGGGACAGACTGTCCCCGGACCTGGTCTGAAGGCGGTTTCCATAGGAACGCATTGATTGATTTTCAATGCATTCCTATGGGAAACCGTGCTTCGCAAGACGAAAAACTCGCAAGAAGAAAAAACTTGCGGAACGAATTAATTTTGTCTTGCGAGGCACCACTGTACTGGCCCATGATATCATCAGGCAGTGCCACTACAAGACAACACTCAAGGAAAAAGTGGTGCTGCTTTAGGTGGGGTTAGAAGGAGGCAAAACTTCTTGCCTTGGCTGGAAACTTTTTCAAACTCCTACTTTACCCAGGTTAGACATTTGTCACCTTAAAAGAAAACGAAAACAAGGGGGAAGTTTTCCAGGTTGGGTGCTTAGGGGAGATTCCTGCTTGCCACAGGAGACCAGGAAAGTGGGCCTATTGGCAAGACTGGTGCCAAACGGTTCTTGATGGTGTGAGTTTCCTTGCAGGGCTCCTAGCAACAGTACAAGCTGCTCGCGGGGAAATCCCCTGCTCCTTGTTCCTTTCCGCCTTCCCATCCCAATGCAAACTCCCCAAGAGCCAAGATCAGATTTCGAAGATCCCAGCCAAATTGGTGCTGGGGTTTTTCCGCCTGTCCCAACCCCAGGATGAAAGGAAACCCTGTGACCTGCCTTCGACAGCCATCGTTCGTCTCCAATGTCAGACAAAAAAGCTTCAGCTTTAATCTGCTGAGATAAAGATCCAAGGTGGAGGCAGCTCCACCTTTGAGACTCATCAACACAGGGATAATTGTAAGGTTAGGACTGCTTACCAGTCCTGTTCCTTGCTGGAGGATTTTTTTTTGGGGGGGGAGGCGGGCACGGTGGGAGAGGAGAAAAGATAACAAGAAGCTCAGTAGCCTTTGCTACTGAACCACACCAGAGTAGAATCTAGCACTGTGTGCTGCAGAAACCCAAGTCTCGAGAACCTGAAGGCTTTTTAAAACAGCCACCACCACCCAGTTTCTAACTCCAACGCCAGAGGAAGGGTGTCAAGCTGAGATTGTGCCTAACTGTGCAGAGTCAGAAGTCCTCTCCCAGCTCGTTTCAAAAGTGTATGAAACTGCCTTTAGAAGTACCTGTGCGACACTACCTTCAGACCCCTCCTCAAAGCCCACCCTTTCTGCAAAGCCTCTGCCGCAACCTCTTAACCCCCACAATCCACTTTAGCCAAATGCAAGCACATGCAGCTGGAATAATGGCATACCGCTGGATTATGGGCTGTTTATCTGTACAGTGTGGAAAAGTTCCATGCACATAGATGGTGAGATATATATATAAATAAAGAGGTTAAATAGGAACATAAGAAGCTGCCTTATACCGAGTAGGGCCCTTGGTCCATTTAGCTCAGTACTGTCTCCGCTGATAGGAAGCAGCTCTCCAGGGTTGCAGGAAAGGAGTCTTCCCCAGCCCTGCCTGCAAATGCCACCGGGGACTGAACCTGGGACCTTCTGCAGATGCTCCACCTAAAAAGAAGATCCTAGTCCTCATGGTTCTGAACAAAGGACTACAGTAGTTTAACAGTGGTACCTCGGGTTACATACGTTTCAGGTTACAGACTCCGCTAACCCAGAAATAGTACCTCGGGTTAAGAACTTTGCTTCAGGATGAGAACAGAAATCGTGCTCCAGCGGTGCAGCGACAGCAGGAGGCCCCATTAGCTAAAGTGGTGCTTCAGGTTAAGAACAGTTTCAGGTTAAGAACGGACCTCCGGAACGAATTAAGTACCACTGTAGTAGGAATTTGCCTTATATCAAGTCCCTTGTCCATCTTGCTCAGTAATGTCAGCACTGACTAGCAGCAACTCTGGTTTCAGGCAGGGTGCCTTTCCCAGCCCTGCCTGGAGATGCTAAGCTAGGACCTTCTGCATGCAAAGCAGATGCTCCACCCACTGAGCTACAGCCCTTTCCACAGCCATGGACACCCTCAGCTAAAACCCTACTCTCTCCACTTCAGCCTCTCTAAATCTGAAACACAGGGAAAGCAAACTGGACCCACTCTAGAGGGTTGTCATCAAGGATCCCTGAGCCAATATATGCAAAGGCTTGGACGTGGGTAGCCAGCATGGGGCCCTCCAAATGTGGTTGGGACTCCCAGCTACCCTGAGCCCCAGCCAGCGTGATCAATGGTCAGGGATGATGGCAGTTGCGGTCTGAAACCACAGCATCCAGACAGCACCGCACTAGGTACCTTTGGGCTAAGAAACAGAACTAACAGTGACTTGTGAGGTGCTGGAAGACTCTTGAGCATAAAACTGCCCTGTACTATCAAGCACTTTGCAAAGCAGAGCCGAGCAACAGGCACAGCCTGTGTCACAGAACTCTGATTGCCCATGCCTGTCCAATAAACAGACTGATACTAGGAGGCTGAGCTAGGGAGATGGGTCATATGTGGCAGGACGGAAGGGGGGGAAATCCACACCAAAGGCCGTCCGCTCTTGGTTACAAGTTTCAGTGCCTACCTTGATTTACAAACAGGCGCGTGGGGTTGCAATATTTGCGTGCCACTGGAGAGCTAGAAGAGCAAACGCCACACAAGAAGAAGCCAACCCCCACCGCCTTGGGGAAAGGAGGGTGCCGGTAAACGCGCAAAACAACAGATCAAAAGGAAACAGGAAGTGGATCTCTCTCTCTCGAGCACAGCTGCCCTGGTGAGATTCCAGAGCACACAAATGAAAAAAGGAACATAAATATTTGCAGCCTGATCTTCAGTGCCAGAAGAGCCTCTGAGTAAATGTCAGGAGGAAGTACTCTGAAATTATGAGGGAATCAAGAACGGCCTCTCCAGCTCATCCATGTTGGGAGCACTAGCGAGGACTCTTCCCAGATGCCAGGAGTATCTCCTCTCTACTACAATTCGCGAGTTCCTCCCTTCCCTGTCGCCACAGTCTTTTGCACATGTTTTGAATTCCAGAAGAGATCGGCAATCCCCACCCTGAAGGCCGCAACTTACAGAAAAAGACAGGCGTCGGAACGGACTGATCGTGTCAACCTCCATTTCATCCAGGTGCAGGGAATTGGCTCTGGGTCAGAGCGAGCTGGAGCATAGCTGTTCAACGCCAAACTACGTTGGGTCCCGAAGAGTCCCACGTTCAGCCCGCATGCCGGCAAGAGAGATACGCGTCCACCATAGTTTGGTTCAAAAAGGAGCAAGAAATCCCTGGTTGGCTGGCCAGTGCTGTCTCCCGACAGCAAGGGGGAATTGAAAAACTCCTGAAATGGGGGCAGGGGGGGGGTGGGAGGGAAAAGTCGGGGACCTTCTTTCCAAAGGCTTAAGAGAAATCTCTGTGCTGGGACAGTGACGCCGCAGTGGGACGGTTCGGCCTTTGAGCCCCTGGGATCTCCCGACATGTGACCAACCAAGAGCTGCTTGCAAAGTTTTGACGTTTACCTGGATTGCTCCAGCCTTTTATGCTCAGCCGGGTGACTCAGGTGCTGGGCGGAATCTGCTGAGGGAGGAGGGGCGGAGGGGGAGGGAGGGACATGCACACACAAACACACACTCCAGGGAAGAGAGAGGGAGACGGAGACACAGAGAGGTGGAAAAGAGCACTTGCCTTCTTGTACGTGGTTTCGCCGGTGGAGTCCACACCCCTGTGGCCTTTCTTGATTGTCTGTGAGGAGTGCCCAGAAGCACCTGGCAACTGGAATCGGAAGCAAAAAAGGAAAAGAAAAGGGGGGAGGGGAAATACAGGCTTCAGTGAGATTTTAAGGATCATCCTGTATGTTTCAAGACTTACTATCCCTGGCTGACAACGGATGATAAAACTTCAGGGGGCTTGATTTGGCCCATAGGTTTGCTAGTTGCCGACCCATGGCATAAGCAGAGGGAAAGAGAGAAGGGACTTGGCACACGTGGGATAGCTCAGTTGGAGGAGCATGAGACTCTTAATCTCAGGCTTGTGGGTACGAGTCCCACATTGGGCAAGAGAGTCCTGCATTGCAAGGGGTTGGACTAGATGATCCTTGTGGTCCCTTCCAACTCTACAATTCTATGATCTGGGGAGGGGGCAGTTCTAGCATCTGTTCTAGAGTCAGCCATACACTTTATAAAGCGATGGGGCTTTATAACAGAAAGAGAGGACAGATCCCTGCCCCAGCTGGCTTACAATCCAGACACTGATTGTACCCTAAGGTAAAGGTAAAGGTACCCCTGCCCGTACGGGCCAGTCTTGACAGACTCTAGGGTTGTGCGCCCATCTCACTCAAGAGGCCGGGGGCCAGCGCTGTCCGGAGACACTTCCAGGTCACGTGGCCAGCGTGACGAAGCTGCATCTGGCGAGCCAGCGCAGCACACGGAACGCCGTTTACCTTCCCGCTGGTATGCGGTCCCTATTTATCTACTTGCACCCAAGGGTGCTTTCAAACTGCTAGGTTGGCAGGCGCTGGGACCGAGCGACGGGAGTGCACCCCGCCGCGGGGATTCGAACCGCCGATCTTTCGATCGGCAAGTCCTAGGCGCTGAGGCTTTAACCCACAGCGCCACCCACGTCCCTACAGATCCTTTATTGGCAGGAGTCCTTTTTCCTCTTATCCCCCTTCCAATTTATTAATGGTGGTACAGCCACTGGGGACTGCCTGGCTGGCACTGACCCATGACTGGGCTTCTCAGCGGTGGTTCTCCGCTTTCGAACGCCCGCCCTGATGAAGTGTCCCTGTCTCCCTCATTACTGACTTTTAGGAGGAATTGAAAATCATTCATGTTAATGTTTTTAACATTTGATGCTTGAAGAGATATTGTTGCCGACAACCCTGAGATCACTGTTTATATAACTTTTTTTTTAAAAAAAAACTTTTATGATATTTTAAAATGTATTATTGATGTGTTCACCACTCTCTACTTCGGGAGGGAGTGCAGAATATAAACTGTAATAACAACAGCAACAACAGATACAGAAGAGAAAAGAAAAGAGGAAAATTAAAGTGGGGTAAACAAGAGAGGAATGTGCTTTTTTTTCAGAACAGGAGCAGGTAGAATCTAAAAATTCCACACGGTGGAGGGATAAATGGAGTGAGATAGCAAAAACACAATTATACCTATTTAGTACTTGAGTTGCAAGAGGACATGGAGACTAGGGACTGTGCAAGAATTTCAAGAAAATGTGAGGTTTAGGGGGGGGGGGATACAAAATAGCACCCAAGCGTTCTGGAAGGCATTTCTAGGGGTAATGGGGCAGCATGATGAATAAACTGAGGGAGCAGGGGGCCTTCGGACAGCTGTGGGGGGTGGAGCTGAAAGAGTGGAGGTCACAGGCAGGGATGTGTTTAGCTGCAAGAGCAAGGAGACACAGAAGGGAGAGGAGACAAGTCTGATGTGAAAGGTGTGCACTCAGGGCATTGGCAGAAATGACTGGCAGAATCCGAGACCAGGGAGAAGAGTCGGTGGAAGAAGATTGGAAGAAATTTAAAGACTATCTACAGAAATATTGTAAAATTAATGAATGATAGAATGATGTTGGATAGCAATTAAGGGGTTTCCAGCTGTAATGCTCTAAGAGAATATGAAAAAAGGGTTATAAATGGGTTAAAACTTAATGGTAAGGATTTGCTGAACCAATAAATTGAAGCGGAATACAAAAAAGGGAGGTATGAGGAGGTCCAGGAAATAAGTTAAAGGAAAATAAGTAACAGAAAATATGTGTGTTTTTGTTTTTATTTTGTATTTTTCTATTTTCTTTTTCATTTTTATTGTATTATTTTAAAAAAGCTTAATAAACATTTCATTAAAAAAAAAAAAGGTGTGCACTCAGCATCTGATGTTTTCCTGCTCTGGAGAGCTGTTATAAAGCAGGAGGGAGCCCCAACCTGTCAGGAAGAGAGCACTGATGGGTTGCATGCACACGAAAGCTCATACCAATAAAAAACTTAGTTGGTCTCTAAGGTGCTACTGGAAGGAATTTTTTTATTTTGTTTCGACTACGGCGGAGCAAGACAGCTACCCACCTGGAACTCGGACAACTGTGTCTTTCCCCAGGAAAATGCACGCAAATATATCCCTAAGGGCAAAGACTGGGCTCCCACTCTGTATTTATATAGTGATACACAAATACATCAAATCGAGTCAATATTCGGAATCCTTGGCCTAAAATGCCTGCTTATTTGGGGCAAGATATTCTGTGCACCGAACATTCCTCTCCTGCACACAGCACACAGTTATTAGCAAACTGATTCTAAGAACGCGGAGCTTTCAGAACCCACACCTGCAATCCTTTGAATGCAGTTGTTTTGCTTCTTGCGTTGTCCTCCCCCACCCCCACCCCCACCCCCAAATCACAACTTACCTCGAACGTTTTTTTAAGTGTTGCTGTCCCGGGTGTCCCTGGAAGAAAGAAAAGGAAGACGTGAGGAGCTCTGCTATGAAACCATTTCCCTAGCTGCTCAAGGGAAACCCTGCTCAGCCATAAACCTTGCCAGGTGGAGAACGCTGCAACTGGATCAGGCCACGGGGGGGGGGGGGCATCTAGCCCAGCACCCTGTTCTGCTCTATGAGAAGCCCACAAGCAGGATCTAACCTCAGCAGCACCTCTCCCTGCTGGCCATTTTCAGAAACTGGAACTCAGGGCCACCCTGCTGAGGATCCCAGAGATAGCATACAGCCATCACAGCTAGTAGCCATTGATGGCCTAATGCGCCACAAATCTGTCAGCTAGCTTACTTATTCCGTGTACAGTGGTACCTCGCAAGACGAATGCCTCGCAAGACGGAAAAACTCGCAAGACGAAAGGGTTTTTTGTTTTTTGAGCTGCTTCGCAAGACGATTTTTCCCTATGGGCTCGCTTCGCAAGACGGAAACGTCTTGCAAGTTTGTTTCCTTTTTCTTAACACCATTAATACAGTTGCGACTTGACTTCGAGGAGCAACTCATAGAACGCGGTGTGGTAGCCTTTTTTGAGGTTTTTGAAGACTTTGGTGATTTTTGAAGCTTTTCCAAAACTTTCCCGACACCGTGCTTCGCAAGACGAAAAAAATCGCAAGACAACAAAACTCGCGGAACGAATTAATTTCGTCTTGCGAGGCACCACTGTATATCTCAACTTTTTCTCCATGCATCTTTGGTGGTTTACCTGCTTCTCCCCCTCCTCATCCGTCTCCACAACAACCCTGTGAAGTAGATTAGACCCGAGAACGAGTGAGCTGGGGATTCAATCCCTGGTGTCCCTGGTCCTAGTCCGACACTAACAATTACACCACACTGGCTCCCTCAGTTATTTCCCTCTTCCATCACAGGGATATTGCAACAATGGGGTCTTTTTTTGGGGGGTGAGAAAGAAAATGGCACCCTGGGCTCCGTGAAGAGCAGGCAGGATAGGAATGAATTATGGAAATAGAAATGCCCAGGGAGAACAGCACTGTAACTATAAACGTACAGAATTGTAGCGTTGGAAGGGACCCCAAGGGCCATCTAGTCCAACTCCCTGCAATGCAGGAATCACAGCTAAAGAATATATTTAGCCAATACGTAGTTGTGAGGTCAACAACTGGCTTATCACAATGTCACCCCAGTCTAACTCTGTTGCCCGAAGCATCAAGGAGCATCAATACCGGACTCAGGCTCAACCGGATTCTTCAAATTCCTCAAATCTTGTGTAAACTGAGGGACAAGCACAACAGAGATATGACTCAGCCAGATGCCAACAGCTTAAGTGCTTTTCCACACACAGAACACACAACCCAGCTCACTGCGAATCCATCTGGCCCAGGCTCGGCAAGCTCAGTGACAGAAACTCAGATATATAAGCTAATCACCTAATGGCACCTTAAACATGGGTTGCGGTTGCCACAATGGACTGTCTAGGCACCATTCCCATCCCGGAAATAATAATAATAAATTATTTTATTTTTTATTACTATTATGATGGTGGTGATTTCTATATTAATTTATATTTTAAAGAACAAATCTCAAAGCGCTTTACATATAAACCATCCCAGACCCTGCGCTGCTCACCCGAGGCCCTTCTTCGTGTGCCTCCTCGTGAGGACTGGAGAGCGGCAAAACGAGAACGGGCCTTTTTCGTAGTGGCTCCCTGTCTGAGGAATGCCCTCCCCAGGGAGGTTCGCCTAGCACCTTGTTTATTTATTTTTAGGCCCCCGGCAAAAACGTCCCTCTTCAACCAGGGGCTTGGGGTGATTCAGATTCTACAGCCTTTTAAATGTGACTTTGGGAAGGGGGTGGGATTATGGTTTTGGTGTTCTGGTTTAATTATCTACTTGTGTTTTATCTTGTATTCCGTGAACTGCCCTGACATCTTTTGAGGAAGGGCGGTATATAAATTTAATAAACCAACAACACATGAAAACATCAATTCAGAATAAAACAAATTCACGCTTCAAGGAAATATTTCAGATCTTTCTCAGCCGATTTACAGGGAGGGAGGGTGCTGGGAGCTGTACTACAACGAAATCTGGAGGACAGCTGGTTAGCCACCCCTGCTTTAGGGAATGGGTGAGGTGAGGAGGAGAGAGCAGTCTGCTTCATAAGGGCTTTGCAATTATGGAGCACACATCCTTGTGCACAGAAAGATGTACGACACTATCCAGAAGAGAATGCAGCATTCCAGAGTCTCTGTTTTTTGCAACATGAAAACAACATTGATGGCAGCCCTACCAGGGGACAGGTATCCTGGCTGCCAGTTAGCCACCCCTGGCCTAAGGTAGTCCTGGGTGGGACACACCAGCGGTGGCCAGGGGGGGGGGGGAGAGCGCACAGGTACCATCAAATATTAAACAGGCAGTCTCAGGCAGATCAGCCCGAATTTCTACCTGACTTGATACTGTATTTATTATATTCTCTGATTTGCATCGTAGGTCCTTTGATGACTAAAACGACCATTTGTTGCCCACAGGAGTAGGTTAATAGCTTTCCAACACATGCAAATAAATAATATAAAATGCCAGGGTACCCAATGCTGTAAGATGTTGACTTCCCTAGGAGTAGGACCCCTTTCTTCCTCAAGATGGATTTTGGGGGTAGGAAAGTGGAGAAAGGGCTTTCTCAGGGCTCAGGCTCAAAATTATAGTTTCTGCCCACCTTTCCAGTGTTTTCACAATACACACGTGGAATGAGGCAGCTGTGTAGCATGCACTGAAATCCCACACGAATGCAGAAAGCCTGTGGCATATAAGCACAGACTTCAGTTCCTGAGAAACTGTTGGGCTTTTTAAAGCACGTTCCTAGACCTCATCGTTACAAAGATATGCTTCAGCACATGCAGGAACACTGCCCGGCTGAAAATCAGCAATATAGGTGGCTGAGTAGGCTTTCTATAGCCCATGTTTAGAATTATTATTTTTTTCTTTTTGAATGATGCAACGTAGGAGATAAATATATGTATATCTCTCATGCGCAACCTTAGTTTGCATAAATTATACAAGTCACAGAACGTAGCTTTTCTCTGTGCAGACAGCCAATGGGTTTTAGGGTGGAAAACACGCTGCACTTCTCACACACCTGCCTCACAGCTCCTAACTCGACTCAACGTGACTTCGCCAGGCCTTGCCCTGCATTCTCACAGCCACCACCCATAAGACCTGCATAACTTTTACCCTACCACTCAGTAGCCACCAATTATACCGGTTGGGCCCGCCCACCGTGGTCATGGGCAGCCAATGAACGCAGCTGCTTTCAGCTTGCTGCCAGCACTCTCTCCTTGGAAGGCAGCCTGAGACAGGTTCCGGTATATGCGCTCAGAGGTTCAATCACACTCTTGAACACTCTTCCCTCCCCGCACATCCTGTGCTCCCAAGAAAAAGGGTGAATCATCAGCCGGCTGGGTTGCCAAGCATGCTCCGTCATGCAGAGACGCGTGTCGGGATTTCGGCAAGCGGGAGGCTGGCATGAACAGCAAGGAGACAATCTGTCGAGGGTTCAGGAGAAGGGCGCTCCTAAGAGTCCAGCTTGCTCCCTGCTGCCTGGAAGCAGCCCGGCAGCTTGAAGGAGCCAAGTGGGTTCTCTTGGCTTCAAGGATGAGCAGGGGGAACTTCCCCAGGTGACCTCTCGGAGCTTGCCGTTCATCCCCGAGAATCAAACTCCAAATAGCTGCCTGCTTCTGGAATACGCACAGTTCTTTCGGCTCTAGGAGACATGGAGAGCATAAGGAGAGCTCTGCTGGATGAGACTGAAGGCACATCTAGTCCTGTATCCCATGTCAGAAGGCTTCAAAAAAGACCTCAGGAAGGGCACAGAGAGCGAAAGCCCCCCTTTCACCTCCCCCAGGCTCCTGGTCTTTCACAGTCGCCTGTGAAGACAGATGGGCTAGTGGGAGTCATAGTCTGAAACTGCTGGATGACATTAGTTTAGGCTGTTCAGGGAGTAGAAAAGAAGTATTAAGAAACTTTCAAGCAAAAAATAAAAAGGCACCCCCTAGTGGACAAGGGAAATGGCAACAGGAATTTTTACAAAGCCTTAGAATCACAGAAACATAAGAGTAGGAAGGACTAAAATTTATTTACATGACAAATGATTAGTCATGTTGTCAACTTGGACTACTCCATTCTCATACAGTGCAGTAATATCCTCTTTGCTTAACAAGAATCATACAATAAACGGGTCCAGTAAAGAAGGATTTATGAGGAGAGAGTGATTATTCATGAAGGAGGCATCTTAAGAAAAAGACTTGGTTGCCCAAATGTTTCTTAAAAACCCAGCTACTCTGTGGGAGGCTACTCAGTTCATTTCAGGAGAACATAAACCATGGAAAATAACAATAAGAGGCCCAGGAATGTATACAAAAGGCAGTGGGGTGAAAAAGCCTTTTTTAAAAAAACAATTATTTTCTATTTGGGCAAGCAACAGTCACCACATCTCAGTTGCGAGACTAGTATTCACAAAGCAGAATGGAAGGGCAGCCCAATCAACCAACACTTTTACCTATGGCACCCTTGCGGTAACTAAGGATTGTTGGGGTTCGGAGAAGGGCCTTTATGGAGCCTTCTGCCCAAGGTTTGAAAAATGTCATTTTTACTGGGGGCTGGGGGGGGGGAGGAGAACAGGCTTCTGGCCTCATCCACCATATGTAGGCAAGGCCTGGAGCACACAAATATTAATTGAAATAGTTTAAGTACAAGCTAACCTACTATGATAAAGGGATGCAGGTGGCGCTGTGGGTTAAACCACAGAGCCTAGGGCTTGCCGATCAGAAGATCAGCGGTTCGAATCCCTGCGATGGGGTGAGCTCCTGTTGCTTGGTCCCTGCTCTTGCCAACCTAGCAGTTCGAAAGCACGTCAAAGTCAAGTAGATACAGCAAATAGGTACCGCTCCGGCGGGAAGGTAAATGGCGTTTCCGTGTGCTGCTCTGGTTCACCAGAAGCGGCTTAGTCCT